GTGATATTTACCACACCCCTCTGTCCCCATAGTACTGGTAAATCCGTAGATTTTGAAGCTTTTTTCATGAGACAGATTTACTTTCAGAATTTTACTTCTCAAGTGAACGTTTTCTGATATTTGAATAATGTTGTAGAGAATCTTGTCTAACGTTAATTATCATAGAACCATTTTTAGCTAGACCATTTCTTAGTTCTGTTGCCTCTCTATCAAGCATCCAGATGAAGTTTTCTGACTTGGAACATGTTGTTTTCTGTCCGGAGAGTATTATTCATATTAAACCAATGCCTTAGAAGCTAAGTTGGGTGGAGGACCCATTTGCCATGGCTCCGCAATTTTTCTGGGGTAAGTTTGTTTTTCGTTTTGGACTGTATACCATGCAGTGATGTCTTTTATTATGTATGGGTATTTAACACTTCCTCCATCCATAATTTGTATTTTTCAGGAATATATTTGGAACTTCCAAACTTAATCATTGCCTGTTGAAAACTATCCCTAAAATGCGCTTCACCATGAGGCCAGTTCATCTGCTGACCTCCAAAAACATGTAAATAAATGGGATAGACTGTCCCCCATCTGAACCTTCATCCCACCACCATACGATAGCCCTTCTTTAGGCCCAGATCAGCAGCATATTTCTTGCCAACCGTTCTTAAGATGTCCAAGAAGACTTTCATCATCTTCTACTGCTTCAGAAATCTGGGATATGTTTCTTGGGTATCATCAGAAAATGTGTTGGTGCTTGAAGGGCAGTACCATGGAAAGCACGACAATGGTCATCCTCATAAATGGTTTTGGTTGGGATTTCCTTGTGGATGACTTTCTGAAGAGTGTGTCACCCAACACCAGGCCCAGTAGCCTGCACCTGGCAGTCTCACTTGCCATCTCTGCCTCCTTCCGGTATGGCTGTCAGGGTTGAAGTTGAGGAGGAAAAAGGAGTCGGGTTGGGGGAGAAGGTTAAGATAGCATGTGAAGCCCATTTGTGGATATACATCTCTATCTTTTGAGATTCCTCACCGGTCACTTCCCCACCCCATACCTGCAATATTATGTGTTACCTGCATCCTCTGACATGGGAGAAAGCTGAAGTGCCTGTCGCTGAGCCAATCCTGGAAACGGCACACCAGCCCAGGCTCCTGTTATTGGAGCTAACCCCTCTAACCCGTTTGTTGAAACCACCATTAGTCTATTTATTGTTTTTGTTTTCACTGTACTGTCTTTCCCCTCACTGTATCAAGTTGACTGAAGCAGTTCTGTGGATTGGAAATATCCACCCTACTTACTTCATTTTTGAGCTTTGAGTACAGCTATTTTGGCAATTATTTGTGGGTTAGTTGAATAATCTTCAACTCATTTATTACGGTTTGTTCTAGAGAAATTGACTGTTTTTTGAACAGCTCAGAATTAAATGTCTACCAGTGTTTGGAAGTACCCTCCCCTACCCCAGCCCTGGAAAACTATTTCACCATTTTTAGATAACTGAAATAATTCATAGAAGCAAGTTGCTTCAGAGAAATGTTGTCAGGTTTATGTCTGGAGGTTCCAATCTCATGACCAGCCTTAGCTTTATGGGAAACAGCTGTGGACCAGAAATTAGGCCAAAAGCAGTTTCACCTTCCTAAACTGAGCCCTTTGGGGGGAGGCCTGCCCCTTATCCCATTTATTCTATTTTAGTCACAGTTCAAATGTGCTTAATTATCTAGTTAATTGCTTAGAACTCTTATTAAGCAGCACATAATTAGAAAAGGGGGAGAGGGACGGTGGCCTGGTATAGGAAACTAAAATGATGGTCCAGTGTCGTGGGGAGGAGAGGAGAGAAGCCAAGTAGACATGTGATTCCACTCAGAACAGACCAGGCCGTTCACATCATGATTTCTGTGGTGATGACGAACCTTCAGTCATCAAGAAAAAGTTTAATTATGTTCAGTCTGCTCTGTTTAAGAAGCTAGGATATGATGCATGAAAAATAACATGCAAAGTTATATCAGTATCTCAAATTGTTTTAAATATAGAAATACATAGGTTAAAATAATGGCAGAAAACAATAGTGCTAAAAGTGACTCTCCCTGGGTGGTGGGAGCATAGGTGAGCTTTATCTTCTTTAAAGATAGCTTTTGTGTATTTTGTAAATTTTCTCCTGAGCATTGAAAGGGTTCAGAGAATACCATCACAGTGTGTACCTCTTTGGCATAAAGATTATTTTGAGCTGATGGCAATTGAAAAGGATCAGACACCTAGACCATCTCTCAGCCTTTCCCTCTGCCAGTAAGGGTGGGAAAATTCTTACTTACCTGAGACAACGCTGTCCGCCCAGCTGAAGCACCTGAGGAATCTGCATATCCAGCCCTGTTCACTAGCCCTTATCTTCCATTCGTTCCCTCCATTTATTTACTTTCCAACAATTTTCCCTCCCTAGAAGTGCAAAGTCCCTTTCTTTTATCTTGTCACTTTTGCACAGAAACTTGTCACTTGTCACTTTTGCACAGCCTCTTCTTTTGTTAAGAGGCTGATTAAGCCCAGGTTCTGGCCACCCTCTTTGAGTTACTCATCCCTGAGTTCTCCCTAGCAGGCAAATACAAACATTAGTAAACTTGTTTTTCTCTTGTTAATCAGCCTGGTCAGGCTCCTTGGTCATGGGACCCAGCCAGCGAACTAAAGATGGCTAGAGGAAAACAACTGTTCTTCCTCCCCTTCCGTTTTTTAAAATTACTTTTCACTTTAAATACTTAAAAGAATATTTTAGACATTCACAGTGGTTCTTGTTCAACTGCTTTTTTGAAATCATTTTTTTCTCACATACTGATTTTGTTAAAAAACGATCAAATGACTGTAGCTCTAGCTAGTTGGACATTCCTGCTTGTTAGAGCTGCCCACTCGCATGTGTGGCGATTGTCTTAGGTGATGTGTGGGTGGAACTGCGAGCTCCCAGTTGTGGGCTTTAGCTGTGAGAATCCTGAGCTGTCTCCACTGCATGTGGTCCCCGCGGCGAGGTTGTGTTTAGCAAGCTGCCTCCTGTTCCTGCACTAGGGCCAGCCTGGGACTCCTATTTATATTAATTTCTCAGCTTTGGTGGAATGCCGTGGTTACATATTTTCAGGGTACACTTCCCTGCAGCCACGCTTAGACCTGCCTAGACCTGTCATCTTCCCCTGTTGGTGGGCAGATATTTTTTTTAAAGATTTATTTATTTATTTATACAAGAACCGGGGTGTAGGCCAGATACGCAGGAGGGTGAGAGGATTCACCAGAGACAGAGCGGGGAACAGAACAGGCAGACTGATGAAATACACTGCTGGGGGGAGCAGCGGGCGAGACAGGAGAGGTCTGCTGCGCCATGTGGGAATCTCGCCGTAAGTCCGGGATGGAAGCCGTGCTGCAGAGGCTGCAGGCAGCTTCACAGCGTGGCGCTCAACTGCTTGTGCCACCAGGGAGGCCCGTGGGGCAGATATTTATCTAGTTTTTTCTTTACTTTAATGTGTGGTGCTTTAAGAGTCTTGGCTTCTCATTTCTCCACTGTGAAGAGCTCTCAGTTCTGTCTCCCACCCGCATGGGCACTGGTGGTCTGGGCATGTGCGTGTGTTAAACCCTAAGTTACCAAGAATAGTTGTCAACCGGGACTCCAGGAGGATTCAGGCTTGCTGCTGTGACCTTTGACCCCAACATGGGGATTTCTTATTTTCTTAATTTGTTTGAGCTCATCCTTGTGGGAAAAGTTCTCAGCCTCCCATGCCCTGGCTGCATCCAACTCCATCAGAATCTCTGGCCTCGGGTGCAGGCTTCAGGATGTTTTTAAAGCTCCTGAGGTGACTCCATTGTGCAGCCAAGGATGGGAACCATTGATTTAAAACAATGTTGTTTTGTTTTACCCAGTCGTGTGTGCGTGCATGTGTGTGTGTTGTATATTTTTCTAGTGGGAGTGTCTTCAAGTAACTGCCAGCAGAAATGAAAATATATACTGTAACTAGGAAAAAAAAGTGTGCTTAAAAGTAAAGAGGAAGGAAACCACCCCTTACTAAGCTTCTACTGTGTGCTCGATCTCTCATATATGTTATCTCATTTAATCATCACAACAGTCCTGCCAGGTCGGTGAGCCTTACTTGTTTCTGCAGGTGAGAAAATTGGCTTGGGGGAATGAAATAACTAGTTTTAGGCACACCCCTCACAAGTTGCAGAATCAGACTTGAGGCCACGAGTTGTCTGAACCCTGTCCTTTTCCCTTACTCTGTGGTAGATGTGAATTATAGAGAGATTTCCCCACATAAATTAAGGTAAAAAATTATCTCTTGGGTTAGATAAGTCCCAGGTATTTGTTGAATTCACTTATTTGGAATACTTCATCCTCCCATGCCAAGGCTGCTCTACTCCATCTCTTTTCTAATGAAGGTAAATTGATTTTCATTAATAGATTGTTATTCTAGGAAAGTTTAACTCATGTTAATTCATTACTTTAAACCTGGGACTAATAGCTTAGTTTTCCTTTTTTTTTTTTTTTTTTAAAGCTCTGTCAGGTGTCATCAAAGGGGACTTACTATACAAAATATTTATCCCTTTTCAGATCACCCCCTTAAGGCCACTGGAGGGCCTTGTGCATGTGTTGGGAGGGTGAGGACAGGCCTGAGAATGAAAACATAGAGAATGAGGTCCAGGAGCTGTTCTCTGTCAGGCGTCCGGTGCCCTGGAGGAGGGTAGGACGCTTGTTCTTTGGCCCTCAGAGAAGTACTGATGAGGACATCCAGAATTTGAGTGGCGGTGTCCTGCCCAGGCATATAGGTGTCATATGCGTGTGCCCATTCTTCTCTCTCTTCATTGTCTTTGCTCTGGCTCTGTGGCGGTGAGTTACTTCTGGAGCTGCAGGAGGGCTTTTCTCTCAACCGGAACTTAGAAGACTTGCTTCTCTGTTGAAATGCCTGGGTTAGGGTGTTCTGGAGTGTGTGAATTGCATCTGATTTCAGTTGGGTAGAAGCCAACCTACTCTAAGTCTTTGTCTTTTTCATTGGCAGCTCTTTAACTGGATCTTCTGTCCACGTGTTGCAACCTCAGAAAACCAGCAGAATGGCTGCAAACAAGAGTAAGAGCCAGAGCTCCTTGGCCCTTCACAAGGTGATCATGGTTGGCAGTGGAGGGGTTGGCAAGTCAGCTCTGACGCTTCAGTTCATGTATGATGAGGTAAGACACGCATGTGCCGACCACCTTCCTCACTCAGTCTACTGTAGCCATGTCCCTTCTTACAACTGTTCATGTGCCCATTTTCCTTGTGCATAGAGGATCATGGAGAAAATTGGTGTTAAGGTGGCTCCTGAATAGATTTACTGGGGGTGGAGGGGGGGAGGGATCTAACAAGTACACGCTCTGGATTGCTGATTTTGGGTAAGTATTTTCAACTCTGAGAGGTCTCTGCTTGCATCATTTCCACAGTTACACTTTGAGTTTCTTCCTGACAGAAGCGAGGGAGGAAGGAGGGACCTTTGTACAGTTTCTTCTGAAGACAAGGTCACGTATTGGGCTTTGTGACTAGTCAGTTTTGGAGAAATTGGAAGGGAGAGTTAAGTTGTCATAAGAACTTTATCTTCATTCCAGCGCTACGTGTCAGGTCTTCTCCAGCTCTCCCCTGCAGTGAGGTAGAGCTTGCACCCTCCTTGTCTAACATTTCCGGCCCTTCGTGTGGGGACTGTAACTGGTGCTGCATCCAGAGTGCCAACAGTCTTGAGTCCTGTAGTAAGAAATGCTCCTGACGGCTCTCTGCCGGTGCTCAGGCTGTGTGTTGGACAGAACTTCCACATCAGGCCTGTCACTGGGATCCCATTCTCATGAGCATGTGTTTCATAAAATTTGTGGAAGAAAGATACCAAGACCACAATTAGTTAAGATCATTATCTCTTTTCACTAAACTTTCCTTTTTCCCAGCCTCCTCAGATGTTGAGTGGTATTGGGGTGGCTATGGGCACTTGGAGATCTCGCCCAGGGAAGTTGGATTGAGGATGCAGTTAGCTGGGAATGGGTGGCCTGTCTGTGTGGTTTGGAGTCACTCTGCTGTGGGGTCAAATTATTACTAGCTGTCCCTGTAGGAGTGACTCCCAGGAATATCCCTGATGCCCACTGTGCTGACTCACCTGGCACTGGGATGTGATGCAGGGCAGGGGTGTGTCCTGGTGTGAATGTGTCCTATGGCATCTGGCACAGAAAGTGTGTGGGTGGCGGGGGAGAGACATGTGGTGCCAAAAACTGGTCTGGAAAGTTCTCCCAGATCTTATAGCTTCTTACAGGGAAGCTTGATAGAGGTTTCCCAAATTTGACAATAGTCCTCAAACTTTCATTACTGGTAATGTCTTATAGTTGCAAAGCTGAAAAAAAAACTTCTTAAACTATCAATAAAAGAAATTTGCATCAATTGTGCTAGAAGAAAGACAATTCTCTATAGGGAATATTTCAAAATCTTTCCCATCTAACAAGGTAATTAGAAAAATACTCAGCAGACAACAGAAAGTAGGAAAGTATTCTAAAGGTATGTCGTATTGTTGGATTTTGTGATGTCAGTGGTGTTTGTGTTAGTTCTCTATTGCTGTGGGACAAATTACCACAGTTTTACAGCTTAACAGAACAGGTATTTGTTTTCTACAGTTTCCAGGGGTAAGGAGTATGGCTCAGATTAGCTGGGTGCCCCATGGAGGGTCTTACTAGGCTGCATCAGGGTGTGGGCTAAGGCTTTGAGCTCAGCTGAGGCTTGGTCCTCGTCTGAGCTGGCAGGGTGGTGGCAGAGTTGAGTTTCTTACAGATGTGGGACAGAGGCCCTCTGCTCCTCAAGTCAGCCCGTGTCACAATGGCTTGCTTCTTCACGGCCAGTAGGAAAGTCTCTCCTGTTAAATAAAACCAACCCTTATGTAAGGGAATGAATCACAGGGAAGGTGATCAAAGGTCCTCTGCATTCAGGGGAGGGCATCGTCAAGGGCAGGTCTCCCTGAGGGTCACCGCAGGGCATGTGTGCCACAGTACTTGTCCACTTAAAGAAATTACAGTGGATTATTTTTTCTCACTCTAGAGATTCACTTATATATCCAATGTGATGTAGATAATTTCACTTATATATCCAATTTCACTTATATATCCAAGCCTGATTTCATGGAAAGGGAAACTGAGTCCTATCGTCAGGGTTCCAGTTGTCTATAAAGTCACATGGACCTTTCAAACTCTACATTCCTGGCCCAATCTTTTTACCTTTAGTTAAAAGATTTTTTTTAATCGTATATGGTGGAAATTTTATAAAATTAAATTAGAGAAGGAGTTATAGTCTAGAAGTCTTTATTTTTGTCTAAGTTTGGACTTTAAGAAAAAGTGGAAGAAACTACCAGTGTAGTGGAGAGGGATTTTAAGCTTTTTATCCTTGGCCTCACATGTTTGAAGACTAACTATTAGGCTTTATTGGTCGTGAAGTTAGTGATGAGGAAGCTTTGGCAGCAACCACATCAGACTTCCGGTGGCTGGCAGAGTCAGTATAGATATGGCTCAGTCAGAAGGGATCTGCATGACATTGGTTTTAGATTTATGTCTTCAGCATCTGAAATGGAATCACACACACAGCCCTGTAAGGCTGGTGGGATGGTCCATTGTTAACAGAAAGCAATACTTCAGGGATTTCCGGCTTCTTCTAGAAAATTGTAAACTTCAGAGTTGTAATCTAACGTTCTAATAATAAGCACACTTTGCACAAGCCTGGAGGTTTGCAGTCATATCAGGACAGTCTGACTTCAGTGTCCAAGTTGTCAGTGCGAGTCTTGCTGGTTTTACCCTTAAAAACTCAGAAGCAAGCAACTGAGATACTTTGTAATGGTGTTCAGAGATTTGTACTGGGTGGTGGTTTTCTTTTTTCCAATCATGCATTTGTCTCTTCGGAAAGGGGTTAAAAGAAGAATACTGTTGTGAAGCACAGGCAAGTGTTCACATTTTCTCTATTTTAAGATAATTATTAGTGTGAATGCAAGAGAACCTAATTATATTTTTATTTTTAGATTTAAAACCATTTGAACTAGTCGCTGTTAATTGACAAAAATGGCTCTTTTTTAAATTCCTCAAATGACCCATAAATTCATATTGATATTTTCAATTCACCTTTTAAATTAAAAACAATTTAAATAATAACTTTATTAAGATGTAATTCACACACCATAAAATTCATCCCTTTTAAAGTGTACAATTCAGGGATTTTTAGTATATTTACACAGTTGTGCAACCGTAACATTTACAATTTTAGAATATTTTCATCACTCCAACAAAGAGTTCCTAGATTTCCAGTCATTCCTCATCACTACTTACATCCCTACCCTTACTCCCCTCACTGTCCCCCCCCACACACACACCCCCTTAGCCACTACTTTCTGTTTTTATGGATTTGCCTCTTTTGGATACTTCATAGTAATAGAATCACATCACATATTATGTTATGTTCAGCTTCTTCAATTAGCTTAATGCTTTGAAAGTTTATCCATCTTGTACCATGTATAAGTACTTCATTACTTTAAGAGATATAATTCCCATACCTTAAAATTTACCCTTTTAAAATTACAATTCCATGGTTTTTAGTATATTGATATTTTACAGCCATCACCACTTCTGATATCAGAACTTTTTCATCATCCACAAGGAAACCCATACCCATAGCCACGGTACTAATCTACTTTCTGTTTCCATAACTTGTCAAGGTTCATCCATATTGTAGCATGAGTTAACACTGATTCTTTTTTATGACTGAATAATACTCCATTGTCTGGCTACGCCACATTTTGTTTATCCATTTGTCAGTGAATGGACATTTGGATTATTTCTATATTTTGGCAAGTTTGAATAAGATTTTTGTAAAGCACATTCCTAACATGAGTTTGTGTAGACTTGTGTCTTAAATTCTCTTGGGTATATTCCTAGATGTGAAATTGGCTGGGGCATATGGTAACTCTATAGCTTTTTGGGAACTTCAAAACTGTTCTCTCTAGCTGTTTCATTTTACAGTCTTCCCAGCAATGGGTGAGGGTTCCAATTTCTCCACATCCTCGTCAACACTTGTTATTGTCCATTTTTTTGGATTATAGCATCCTAGTAGGTGTGACTTGCATTTTCATTTGATTTGCCCTTCCCTGATGGCTCGTGCTGGTGAGCATCTTTTCATGTGCTCCTTGGCCATCTGTATGTCTTTTTTGGTGAAATATCTATTCAGACCCTTTGCCTATTTTCCAATTGGGTTATTGAACATATAAACATGTTCTTTATATGTTCTAAATATAAATCCCTTATTAAAATCTGATTTACAAATATTTTCTCCCATTCTGTGGGTTGTGTTTTCACTTTCTTGATAGTGTCCTTTGAAGCATGAAAGTTTAAATTTTTGATGAAGACCAGTTTATTTACTTTTTCCTTTGTTAGTTGGGCTGTCAGTGTCATAAGTAAGAACACATTGCCAAATCCAAGGTCATGAAGATTTACACCTATGTTTTTTCTTAGAGTTTATATTTTAAACTTACATTCACTTTGAGTTAATATTTGTATGTGATGTGAAGTAGGGATCTAATTTTCATTCTTTTGCATGGGGATATCCAGTTATTCCAGCATCAGTTTAATTTTAATAGTATATTATTGTCATTGAGTATTTTGACTTCTAGCATCAAGATATTGCTTATTTGATATATGACACAACATAAGGAAAATGGCTTTAAAATAGTAATATCGTTATTCTAAATAATATAATCACCAAGGGAAGTTTAACATTTCTTTAGAAATTTAGTCTTTTAGTGGGATGCATTCTATCAAAATATTCTGTTCTAAAGTTCCTTAATTCTTTCTGTGTCTGGCTACACTGCCAATTTAATGTTTATTTAAATTCATTTGCTTCTGCTTTTCTGTTTTAACAGCTTGTAAATTTGTTTTTTTTTTTTTTTTTGGGTATCCTTCCAGAATGTCTTTTTTGGCAACTATAGACATACATACATACATACATACATACACACACACACATATCAAGAGAGCTATATATACAAAAAACTTCCTATTATCTTTACTATCTCTACTTGCCTTGTGAAAAAATTAAACTTAAATTCTGTTCATATTTATACATTGTACATAGTTTTCTTCATTTTTTATGGTTGCCTAATATTCAATCATGTGGATTCCCTATGCTAGGCATTTCAATGTTTTTTAATCTTTTGCTATTACAAATAGTACCTTATAAACAGGCATTTTTGTATATTAAATTCCTAGACATCCCTCTGATTGGGACAGAGCATTAGTGCTTTTCTAGTTCTATTAGATGTTGCTGTATTGGTCTCCATAAAGATCATACTGTTCTCTACTAGCAATGTACTCGAGTGCCTTTCCCCCAGTGTATGTAGTCAGACTTTGGGATTTAGGCCAGTCTGGGAGGTGAAAAATGGTATTTCAATGCATTTTACAATTTTCAATTTGCTAGTGAGGATAAAAATCATATATTTACAATGGAATCATATGTATTTGTTTTTCAGTGAATTGTTTGTTGATACTTTTTCTCATTGGAGTGTTGATTTTTTTTTTCTTTGTAGGAACTGTTTATATGTAGCTTTTTGTGATATGGCTTCACTTTTCCCCTGTTTGTCATTTGTCTTTGTTTATAGTGTGTTGTGCCATACAGAAGTTCAAAAAACATTATGTAGTCTAATTTATCAATTTTTTCTTACATGGCTTCTGGATTTTGAGTCATAGTTAAAAAGGCCTTCCCTACTTCAAGGTAATAAAAGGATTTCACCCACATTTTCTTCTAGTACTTGAGGGTACTTTTATTTTTTACATTTAATCTTTAACCCATTTGGAGTTTATCATATTGTGTAGCTATGTAAGCTTTTTGGTACCTCTTGCCAAATTACTTTTCAGATATGTTTCATACTTCTGTTGATTATGAATGGAAGCTCATGTTTCTTACCCTTGCCAGTGTTTGTATTATGATTTTATACTGGCAATGATATTGCCAAATGTTCTGCTCTGTGCTTGGTCTCCTGATCTGTAAAATGGGAATATCTGTTCTTTTTTGTTTAAAAACAGAATAAGAAATCATAGAACTGAGAAAAACAGAGAATAGAAGTGTTATATAAGGAGTTATTTTTATTTAATAGTGCCTAACATACATGTGATAATTCCGAGCAGTAAATAGTTATTTGATTCTAGACAAAGTACTTATATATTAAAGTTTATTTTTTGGCAGATTTATTCCCTTTAAAACTTGGTTAATTACTGATAATGTTGTTTATTTCCTCAGTTTGTAGAAGACTATGAACCTACCAAAGCTGACAGTTATAGAAAGAAAGTGGTTCTTGATGGAGAAGAAGTCCAGATAGATATTCTGGACACGGCTGGGCAGGAGGACTATGCAGCTATTCGAGACAACTACTTTCGCAGCGGGGAAGGTTTCCTCCTTGTGTTTTCAATCACAGAACACGAATCGTTTACAGCAACTGCAGAATTCAGGTCTGTTTGAAATGAAATCGCCGGCAGCTGGCCTTTTGCCTTCCTTTGGTGTTTCATAAGCTTGGAAGGAGTTTGGGACTGAGTGTCATAGTAGAGGGTTGAGTTGTTATTAGGAAGAATTCTGTCTAAAGAATTTCCTGGGCCTCCCTGGTGGCGCAGTGGTTGAGTGCTGGGTTGCGAAGCTGTCTGCAGCCTCTGCAGCGCCGGTTTGATCCCCGGCTGCTCCCCGGCCACCAGAGGAGGGTCCCACATGGCGCGCAGACCTCTCCTGCCGCCCGCTGCTCCCCTCAGCAGTGTACTTCGGTCCTTCTGCCTGCTCTGCTCCCTGCTCTGGCTCTGGTGAATTCTCTCACCCTCCCGCGCTTCTGACTGTACCCAGTGCTTGTATAAATAAATAAATAAATAAATAAATAAATAAATAAATCTCCAATAAATAAATAAATAAATAAAATCCTGGGGTTGTTTTGAATTTTGGCACACACTATAGTCCGCCATTTGTTATAATCTCTTTGTTTTATAATTTCTGAATATAGATTATCTTAATCTGTTGACCCTAAAGAGAATGAAGCCATTCCATGTAAACTTAGGAACTTGTAATTTTGTTTTTATATAGATCCTGAGAGATGGTGACTGGTTAAATATCTTTGTCTTTTTTATAATTTTGTTGGAAAAGTAACCATTTTGATCTATTTTGAGACTTATGAAACACTGTCAGGAGAGTGAAGGATGTGAGCCAGAATGACCATTGGCTGCTCTAAGGGCTTTATGTATAGTTGGGTGCAAAGAACTCAGCTTTAGAATCACACAGGGTTTGAATCGCTGTCCTGCCACTTACCAACCAGTTTAGTGACCCTGGAGGAGTCTCCTGAGCATTGGAGATTGTTTCTTTATCAGAAAATGCACTTATTAGTTGATGACATGAAATGGTGCATCCTCCCCACAAGGGCAGGCACTGTGGCCACCCTTGGTTGTGCTGTGTCCTCAGGCCCTCTCACAGGAAGGAGGTGCTTCCAAGTAGAATAGTTACTGCTGTGATTCATTTGAAAATATAGTTAAAGATACATTATGTTCATTTTCTTACAAAGAAAGAGGGAGCCTTCAGCATCATTCTTAGGGAAATTTTAATGGTGAGGATGTCTTTCTCTTTCCTCCATACCCTTCCCACTTCTCTTACACAACTGTGTTTTTTCAAGTACTGTACTTACAAACATACCTATCCAGGTGACTTTTTATTTTAGGAACCAGGTCTAGAATCTTCACAGAGAACTGAAAAGAAATGGAGGGGGGGGGACAGTATTTTTTCTCATTCTTTAGCAAGTTCTGGACAGAAATTAATGTGATCAACCAAAAGTGAAAATGAGGAAGCTAAATATTCCCCCAAGATTTGGAATGAAACATCAGTGAGCCAGGGAGGCTTCAAGGGGCAGACTCAGGTAAACCGGCAGAGTGAGTGGAGGTAATAAGGCAGCACCTGAGTTATGCTTCGTAAAGTCTTTCGAGGTTGAATGTCTGAGTTCTGTGGGGTGATAGTGAGTATGTTGTGGTAACCAGTTAAATGAGTTCTTACTAGAAGTCCTCTTAATTTTTAGACCTTTCTGACATACTTAAATGTTTCTGTCTGTAGATATAGTCCAGGTATTCAAAATCCTGTTTGCACAATGCTATTTTTATGTATTCTTGAGGATAAAACAGCACTGATGTATACACTACCTTATTTTCTTCTTAGCTTGTTTCTTCTTGGCATTGCCTCATGACTGACCGAGAAAGGTGATTTTGGGCAATAGAAGTGTCATTTCCAGAGAATAGGTGGTGCCACCCTTGTCCTGCCCTCTTGGATCAGCGCATGTGCACACATACACACACACACACACAATATTTGTCTTCTCACAGTCTCATAGAGCAAGGTCTCATATTATCTTGGGAGAAGCATTTTGGTGGTTATGTGAAAACAGGAATCCTTAGGGGAAAAAGATAGGTGAATACCTACAGCAAAGAGTGGGCAAGTTCTTCTGTCTTGGACTCTGGACACTTAGATAAAAGCCCATAGCTGTCCAGGTTTCTCACATCGTTGGAAACAGAAGGAATGGAGGTGGGTTATTTGAGCTTTTATGGTTTAACTCAGTCACTGTATTCCTTTTAGTAGTTCAAAATGTAGCAGTTTCAAAATGTAGTAAAAAATTTATTTATAGAAAGACTGCAGCATGAACAAACCATTAATATAATCTATCTTCTTTGAAACTGTTCCTAGAAAATATTCCATAAACTAGAGAAAAAGCTAGGTTATGAGAGATCAGGACTTAGTACTCTTGTTTTGTTTTTTTTTTAAATATTTGTTTATCTATTTATGCATAGAAGAACTGAGGTGTAGGCCAGAGGTACGGGGAGTGAGGACTCACCAGAGACAGAGTGGGGAGCAGAACAGGCAGACTGAAATACAGTGCTGAGGGGAGCAGTGGGTGAGACAGGAGAGATCTGCTGTGCTTTGTGGGCAGCTCCCTGGCTGGGGATTGAACTCAGGCCATAGTGGTGATAGAGCTGAGATTTAATCCCTACCACCAGGGAGGCCCAAGTACTCTTGCTTTTGGATCAGTGTTTAGCAATGAGGTGATTTTAAATGTCTCAGCAAGACTAAACAACCAGAAAGCAATCAATTTGTCTTGTTCCTAGTTTATATTGATCACGTAACACAAATGAAGCATGTCTCTTGGCTCTTGTTGAAATGTAGGGGATGGCAAAGCTACTTAGAGACAACTTTCTGCCTTAAGGAAAGTTTTTCCTTTTAGATCAGTGAAACTGAGTTCTTACTTGGGTTTTGCTGCTTTATTTTTGTTGTCATGCCTTAGGGAACAGATCCTCCGTGTTAAGGCTGAAGAAGATAAAATTCCATTGCTTGTAGTGGGAAACAAGTCCGACCTGGAAGAGCGGAGGCAGGTGAACATCGAAGAGGCGAGGAGTAAAGCAGAGGAATGGGGTGTGCAGTATGTGGAGACATCGGCCAAAACACGGGCCAACGTGGACAAGGTAGGCCTGTGTTCTCTGTGGGTTTCTAGGAGACAGACTTAGAAACAGCAGAAAATACAAGTCTCATCCGGTCTGTTTGGTTTTGAGAGAAGCATGTGTGGAAACCAGGGGAAGACTGATTTTTTCCAGATGTCTAAGCCATTATCGTGAGAAGTGTTTACCCCCCAGAGTCTGTCCTTTTTGCCTTGAGGGTCTGTTAGAGTAAACTTAATGTTGGCACAGCTCTGGGGGGTAAGGCAAGAGGAAGCCAGTGGGCTGTGAAGACTGGGCTGGAAGGATCCACTTCAGTAGCTTTCCTCTACTTTCTCCTCTTCCACCTATGGGGGCTCTGCAGGAGCAGGACCCACTGTGTTGGGCTGCTTCTTAGGCGGTTCTGTGAAGGAATGTGGCATTTCTTGATTTTGTTTTTCACTGAGTTATTGGTTAGATTTTTCTTTTCACCTTACTGTGCACTGGCAGAGCCAAGGTGCCCTGCCTTTATTACTTAGTCACTACATAGTATTTGCTCTCAAGTGATTGCTAACTGGTAGGTCTTTTTTTTTTTTTTTAAGATTTATTTATGCATACCAGAACTGGGGTACAGGCCAGAGGTGCAAGGGGTGAGAGGATTCACCAGAGACAGTGGGGAGCAGAACAGGCAGACTGACTGAAATACACTGCTGAGGGGAGCAGCAGGCGAGTCAGGAGAGGTCTGCTGTGCCAAGTGGGTAACTCCCTGGCTGGCCGGGGATCGAAGTCATGCTGCAGTGGCTGTGCATAGCCTCATAGGTTGCGTCTTAACCCCTTGTGCCACCAGGGAGGCTCCCCACCCCCTTTTTAAATTAAAGTTCAAAGTGGTTGTCATATGGCAGCCTTAAAAACGAGGCTTTCCCTCTGCCTGTGCCTTGTTCATTAACTCTTCACGATTAGTGCTTTCTTTTCTTTCTTTTTTTTAAAGGTGATTTTGATTTTAATGTCTTTTTTTATTTACTTTTTAATTTTTACAGTTTCTTTTCTTTAAAAAAGATTTTATTTATTCATGCATACAATAACGGGGGTACAGGCAGAAGTGCTTTCTTAAAATCTACACACAGGGGCCTCCCTGGTGGCGGAGGAGTTCAGTTTCGGAGATATCACCTCTGCGCCTTGAGTTTGAACCCTGGCCAGGGATCTAACCCACTTACAGCACAGCAGACCTCTCCTGTATCTCCCAAGGCTCCCCTCAGCGGTGTATTTTAGTAGATCCACCTGTTCTGTTCCCCACTCTGTCTCTGGTGAGTCCTCCTACTTCCCGCACCGCTGGCCTACACCCCAGTTCTTCTACGCATAAACAAACAAACTTTTTTTAAAAACTCAAAAGCCCAAAAACCAAAAAATCAAAAGAAAAGAAAATCTGCACACATCACTTTGGCAGCCCAGCAGTGGATCCGTCTGCTCTGTGTAATGCAGCATCAGCACTGGAGCTCCCATATCACTTCTTATATTTCCTCTTTCTTCTGAAGAAATAGTTCTCCTTTAATTCTTACCTGAAGAGGAAGAGATTTATCACCAAGGTTTACTTTGGCTTGAAATGATCTTAGAAGAACATTGGTGTTTCAAATAATTGGTATCAGAAGTTCATCTTAGAAGCACTTTGCCAGTACCAGCAACATAAATCTGTCTAGTCTGCAGTGTCAAGTATGTTCACTTGTCAGCTACCTTTCTTCATGTTATCTCAGACTCTCAGGTTGATTCTATGCTACACCATATCTCTTCTTTCTATCAAATTGTTTCCTCATTAAACGCACATACACACACAGGAGATTCAGAAATAATCTTCATTTAAAAAAATCAGAAAGGCTTTCTCAGCATGGAATGCAATGGTCTGTGTTTTTAGATGGGAAGGGGTGGGGCAGGTTGAGGTGGCGTGGGATGGAGGACAGGGCAGGGGGGTGCACCCTGGCTTGTCATCTTCCTTTCCTTCTCTGGACCAGCTGGACCTGACAAACAGGAACCAGCAGAAACTTATGACTGGCAGCATTGTATTCACTTGTGAACAATTTACACCAGTCGGTTGTCGATAAGATCTGCGGCTGAACAACTTTGTCATCACTTTAAGTTGGATAGAGTCCATTCCCCTCCACTCCTGCCTTTTTCTATTAGAACTAGAAAGAAACCCTGCAACATTTGAAGCCCTTCATAACTGTTATGGACGCGGTACTTTCCTGAGATGCTGGAGAAAAGGGGTGCTGAGGTCAGCCTGATCCAGTTTGGGGGAGGTCCTTTTCTCTCCAGGAGCGAGTGGTACATGGACATGCATTCCCATGCTCAGAAAGTTTGATGTGGCTTTCAGCAAGAAGCAGGTCTATTTACGAAAATAAAAGGAATTTGCAGGTTTTTGTGAATGTCCAAGAATAAAGACAATGCTCCATCGCTCACTTGCAGCCTCCCTCATTCTCCGTAAGAAATTTTAGATGTTTCTTTGTAGGAGGCATGTTTTGTCTGCTTGAGGTATAATCAGCATTTTGCCATGATTGCTGGTAGGAGAGGACAAAACCCAGACTATTATGACAAATGATAATCTCTAGCTAAATAACATACTGGCAGTCAAAGTCTCCTCATCTCTTGATAAATTTTTTTTTCAGTAACATTGCGAAGAATGGAGTAGTCCAGAGAATTAGGGTAAGGGTGTATGTGGGAGGGGTAGTGTGACAGGATATCTGCCCCCTGCCCCCCCATTTCATAGTGCAGGAGTTTTTGTTTATGCTTTTTCCCTACCCCACCTGTTCTCAATTTTGGCGTGAAGCTGTCATGCATCATAATGTTCCTACCTTTCTGGAACATTTTAATGATTAAATAAGGTATGGTGGTAGGTATTAGAGCATCTAGTAGCAGATATCCTTACATGTCACTCTCAATAGTTGTGAATTTCACAAATGTTACAGATCTGTTCTATGCGGTCTTATCCTTTTTTCATACTTACAAGCAAAAATTTTGTCATTTTGAAATAAGTTGTTAACTGGTAGTAACTGTGTGATGCTTCTGTCCTCAGCTTGGCCAGTTATAGGATATACACAAAGGTGTTTATTCTGAATCATTAGAATATGTCTTTAATGGTAATTATTCTTACTTGCTCTGGACCTCTTGCTTTTGATGACACATGGTTTATAAAGATTTTGACATGTGGTTTATAGAAATAAGTCTGACTTTATGCTTTAAAATGTACCTGCATATCCTACTTAGTCCAGTTGCTTCATTAAATCATTAAATTGGTTTTTCCTCCTGTTCTTTTCACCCCTTCATCCCCACCCCAGGTGTTCTTTGACCTAATGAGAGAAATCAGAGCAAAGAAGATGTCAGAAAACAAAGACAAGAATGGCAAGAAAAGCAACAAGAACAAGAAAAGTTTTAAAGAAAGATGCTGCTTACTGTGAATGCCAAGATGGTGGATGGTCAGTTGCCGCTAAGGACATAGGGCGGGTTTGTTCCGAGAAGACAGTGGAATCCTTGGTGTGCTCGCTCCCTGCTCTCCCCGGTCTCACTCACTCATACTTCTGTAAATGGGGAAAATATTTAGGACTCAGAGACTGGCAGAAGAAATAAACCCTTGTGTGTGCAAGGGTCTTGCCAGGAGATTTTGGGGTTTCCTTCTTCCTTCCTTTCTCCCGAGAGTTACTGCTTAAGTAGTGCTGCAGGTAGGACACAGTCAAATGTGAGTTAAAAAGAAAACGTACTGGCATAGCTTTTTCCCCTTCCTAGTTTTATAACGTTACCACCTTTTATTTTGAAATAAAAATGTCTTATTTTAACTGGAGTTTGGGAGAGGGGGTGGGTTAAGACTCCCCCAACCTTTATCAGCTTAACACTAGTACTCAGAAAAATCCATTCATCTCTCATGATGCTGAAAAATTCAGAATTATGGGATATGTTTCTTAGCAATGCCCTGTGGATCCGAACCACAGCTAAAAAGAAGTAAATTTGAATTGGGCCAAATAGGTCTATATGAAGCTTATAAATCCTCACATAATTTGTAGGTGGTTTTCTTCATATTTAATTTTGATGAAATATGATTAAATATTGACTATAATTAAGTCAATAAAGTATAATTAAGTCAAATAAAGTCTATGTTAGCTGTTCCTTTTCCTGCAGCATCCTGATTTTCTGTAGAAGCTTCTTTTTAGTAGACTAATACTCAAGAGTAGTATACTTTATAAATGAAACTTCCTAATCATATTTAAAAAAAAAATCTTTGGCTAAATAAATCCTCTCCCAGTTGCCAGCTGTGTGGGCAGACCTCCCCTTCTCCAGTGGCGGGTCCCCTGGTCTCTTGTCTGGATCAGCCTCTTTACACGCAGAGGCTGAGGGAGCCTCTTCTTTTGTTTCTTTAAATGTAGCATGAGTTCTTCTGAAGAATGTGATGAGTTGAAATTGTATTCTAAAATCATGAAGCCAGAACCTGTGCCAATACATCCTGCTACCTCTCATAGAATTGCACAGTAATTCTAATGCACAGTAATTCTAAATGTAAAATTAGACGTGGGGAAAGATAAGCCATTGTCCTTTTACCTCTGCAGATTTCTAACACTGGTTTTTTTTTTTTTTCCCTTCTGAGACAGTCAAATAGATAGTTAGAAAAGATTTTTATTAATGAGGTATTGTTTATCTTTCTTATATCGTTCTAAATTCAGCAATCAGAATATCTTTCTTCTCAAGAGGAGAATTGTGGTAAAAAGCCAGCATGTAACACATTTCCCTCCATTTTTCAGAAGTGACATTTCACATTAGGTGCCAAAAGTGAATTGGAGTGGGGAGAGCAGGAACCTTTTGAATTTATGGTTATTACTGAAATTGTAGAAATTATGATTTGACTGAAAAACACTCTTGTATCACCTCCCAAAGAATCATGGGCTTTTTTGAATAAAAAAAAGCAGACAAATACACCTTTTCAGGATTTCAGACTTTTTATTTTATCCTCTTGTCATAATGTGAAAGATGCAAGTATTAAAGAAAGGAACAGTAAGTTACTCTTTGTTATTGGATGCACTGCAATGTCAGATGAACTTTATTTCAAGTAATCCTTCAATTTGAACTATGGGAAATAAAATTGTTTAAAGTATAAACAAGTAACTTTATCTGTTGGGAGAGAAGATCACTTGAAGGCGATCACCCTTGAATTCTTTGAAACAACCTGTTTCTTTTCATCCTAGTTTGCTACATGTTTGATATCAGTTCTAGTCAAGAGTAGGTAGATTTGGGGTATGTACAAGTAAATTAATGATGGTATGAATAGCTCTTGACTATGGAAATTATACTAATTATATATTATATTTCTTAAATTCTATTTAACTGGGTAACAATCAGAATTGGATGTTCCTAACAAAATAATTTATGCACATGAGTTTCTCAAGAGCAAAATAAGAAGAAATGTCATCTATAAACTTGACAAAAGTTATTTGCTAAATGATTGGATATTGTGGCCACAGCCTGGTACTGTTTTTTTTTTTTTTTTAAAGTGTTCCTTCTGGAAGTAATTGAGCACACACTTGGTGTTAGGTGCTGGGATGGGATGTGATATGAACAAGACAGACAAGATCTCTGCTTTCCTGCAGGTTACTCTTTAGCAAGGAAAGAGACAAATTTATAGAAAACAGTGTGCTTGTATGAATATAAAACTGGGTAATATGCTTGGAGATATTTTTGGGAGGGGCAATGGAGCTGAGTTGGATGGGGTGATCAGTGGAGCCTCTTCCGGGGAGTGACATTTACTCTGAAACCACATGGCCTGACAGAGCCAGCAGGTTGGGGGGTGTGGGGAGCTTTTTAGACTAGGGACCAACTGCTCTAAGATAGTCAGGTAAAGACCCCAAAGACCACTAAGTTTGCCAAGAGTATAATGAGGGAAGAGCAGAGTTGTAGAAAAAGATGGAAGTCTGTGATTTGATTTCATAAAGTGACATGAGGAAAAATACCTGGACATATTATCTCCTACAAGTAGCCAGTTATATCAAATCTAAGACAATATTTTGTACGATGTCACTGTAATTTATTTACCACTCAGGAAAAATTATGTAGATACATCTTGATTTCAATGACATAAAAATGTGAGACTCTAAAAATGTTTTAGATTAGGTGAATTATGACATAAATTTTTAGTTTTTTTTCTAGATGCAAAGTCAAGATTTTTTTTAATAGTTAAACTCATTTTCTTTCTTACAATCAGCATCTCACAATGTAGTAAATAATCAAATCTCATCTTTCTTCGTTCTTCAAATTTTGCATTTGTGTTAATCTTGTCTATTTAATTTTTTAAATTTACATATTTTTACATTGTTCATTTTTGTACAATGTATAATTTCTCCTCTCAGGTTTTGTTCCCATAAGATTACCACCACCAAGACACCCATGAACCATCACCATAGACTCTTATGCTCTTCCCGCTTATTTTGATCCCTTTCCTTCCAACTCTCCTGATGGAAGTCTCCAATTTATAGTTGCCTGCTAGTTTTGTCTTTTTTTTCCCCTGATTCCTTATATGGTTTCCCTGTGTTCCTTCTATAAGTGAGCTCATCTGATATTTTTCCTTTTTCTTCTGACTTAATTGAGTATAATCATTTCCAGCTCTGGAATCCATGTTGCTGCAAATGGCATAGGTTTATCTTTTTTGATTGCTGAATAGTATTCCAGTATGACATATAAATTTAAATGACAATTGAAATACAAAATTCACCTCTGTTGGTGTAGAAGACACGTAAATATGAAATACCATAGAAGCTTAACAGTGGATAAGTATTGACCATAGGAAAGTAGTAATATATATTTAATGTTAGAGTAGTACAATTGACTTTGACAATTTTATTTTGAAAATTCATTAAAATTATTTAGTCAAAATTGTCACTGTACGCTTTGAAAACTCACGGTATAGTAGTATTGATAATAGAAGCTCTTGAGTCTTACTTTTCCCTACTCTGGCCTTGTTCCTCAAAAGCCATATTTAATCATTTTCATTCTCAGATCATCTCTTAGGTATGCATGTATTTCTAGGTACTATTCTTATGCCACTGTTTCTTGATTTCTAACCTCTGATATTCCCAGTAGACTTGATGCAGTAGATGAGGATTTTGGTCTCTTGTCCCCTTTACCCCACCCTTATTTTTGAACTGGTATCACTGCTTTAATTCCTCTTCTGGTGACTTTTATACCTTTAAAAACTATATATTCAAACTTATGTTTGTTATTCAATCAGCCATGGCAGCATCTCTTGGCTCCCTTGTCTGGTATACCTTTTATTTTTACATGGTTACGGGGGGTGATGTGTATGCCATCCTGTGACAGTAATTCAAGTTTTCTTGCTTTATCAATAGATTAATCAATAGATTAATTCTAAAAATCAAAAGCCAGTCAGCAGTGATTTGACTAAGACTTATTGTAACTATACCTTCTTGCTGAACTCAGCACTCTGTGCTTTTTATTTCTTTTTCACTCTGCAGTTCTGGCACACAAAGGAGAGCCTTCCTGGAGCTCTGTCAAGTGGACTCTTCCATCTATTGCCCAAATCATACCACATTAGTTCACTTCATCTTTGGCATGTTGCTATGTAGAGTTCTCCTGTGTCTTATTATCCCCAAAGTTTGATTGCTTTCTTCTTCTTGAGAGAGTAATTATGTGCGCTTTCCCTGAGACTTCTTTGTATTGCTTGGGATCTGCTTCCATTTTTCTTAAGACATTCTGCTTAGAGCTCATTGGTTGCCTGATCTCATTTGGAATGATTACTTTCCAGGTCTCTGCACAACTGCTGTACTGAGATTTGTTTTCATTGGGCACTTGGGTTAATTCCAGCTTCCTAAGTCTCTTTCTGGTTTTTATGCTCATTTCGCTGGAGTGCATTTTCAGAAAGGGACACTGGGGTAAGCTTTCAGAGTCTCTTCGTATGTATGAATGTATTATGACTTTTACCCTTTATTTATTTGCTAGTTTGGCTAGCAATACAATTCTGGGTTCAAAATAATTTTTCCTTAGTACATGGGAGTCCTTGCTTTGTCTTAAAACATCTATTGTTCATAAAACTGCTGTCATTCTGACGGACATCCTTTGTTAAAGGAGCCTACCCCCACTCACCATCAGAGTATCGTCTCTTTCAATAAGGACTCACTTCTATTTACCTCTAGAAATGTATTCCTAAAATTTCTCAAATCTGCTTGATTCCATTCATTTTGTTTTTGTCTTCTGTCTCCTGGGTGATGAGTTTATTACCTGCTGCATGAAACAGTAATTTCTTATTTACCCTATCTTTTCTAAAATGTGGCTGACTTTGGATGTTCTCTCGTTTTGGTATATAAAAAAATCTGAGTTATTTATGCTGTTGGCAACTTTATAATTTCTTGTTATTAGACCTAGGAATACTGTGTTTGCCAATTATAGGCCATCTGTTGCCTCTCACCTTGGTGATGCTGCTTTTAAAAATGCTTACTGATAATATAGACTGTAAAACTTCTTTGTATGAGTTGCTACATAAGTTTCTCTTTTGAGGACTTTTGGAAAGATTGTAAATATTTTAAGACTAATTTGGGCCCTTCAATTTAGGGCTACTCTTCTGGATGAAGAAAGATAACTATCTCTGGTAACACCCACCACCCTTTTTGTGGAATTTAAATGCATGTTCTGATAAAGTGTCACTACGTATTCATTTCCACTCATTCACTCCTATGGCACCTAGCTGGATATTCTGTTAGGGACAGTATTGTCAAAAGCGTTGCCAGAATGACTCACTGCCACACAGTGTGAGTGTGAGTCATTCAGGAGAACACGGCCTTTGACTGTGTCTGAGAAGCTCAGGATCCTGCCAGAGGCGAGGCCTCCTCTCCCACCTGTTGTGAAGAGGCCTACGAGGAAGGGAGAGCCCTCTCTGCTGGGGTGCCTCCCTTCTCATTCTCTGACTGAAAGATAAGTCTTCTCATGCACATTGAAGAAGGGCCAGGTAGCTGAAGGATTTTCTTCCAAAATCCTCAGGAAAAGTTGATTTCTATCAATTCTGTACTTTAAGCCAAGCTTAGTTATGCCTAGCAGTAAAACCAAGTATATCTCAAGGTGAGTGGAGCACAGGAATCAAAAAGAATAAATAGCTAGACTTCTTAAGGGCCAAATTACAAATAAACTTAGATATTTTCAGTAGTTACGACTAGAAAAGCTTTCCTGAAATCGGATTTGTCCAGGGAAAACAAATGTGTGATATCATTTTTTTAATCTCTGGTAAAATAAGTAAATATAGACTGTGACTTGGTGTTCATTATCACACATTGGTTTTAGTGAGAACGCTGAGATGATAGCTTGGCCTATGAAGCTTCCTCATATAGTGTCCCGCAGGGGGTGGTGTTAAGTGTGTTAAGTGTGGGAGGTGCTGGAGACTGTGTCCTGGTTACAGAGACAGTGGCGTGGAGCTTCCTTACAGGCACTGGCTGCGGAGTCCCAAATGCAATCGGCCGTCCCTGTCAACGCGTGCTGTGTAAATCGTGTGCTTTAATTAGGGAGAAATTGCTTTTAGTGAGTTTAGGTTTTCTGCAGAGATGTTTGAATTGTCTAGATGTGGGGAAATATTACCATTTTTTTTTTTCTTTTTGTCATTAATAGTTCAACTAAGTGATTTACCTCAGGCCCAGGGGACAGGTCTGCATGTTTCAGGCTAATGAACCAGCGTCCATTGCAGTCTGCTCCCATCTCTGCCTGATCATCTGGTGCAAAGTCACCAGCGATTTCCTATGGCAAAAACCAGAGGGTCTTTTTCAGTCTTTATAACATTTGCTAATGTTTCTTTGCCTTAGCTTTTCTAGACTCTTCTGAGTCTTACTCCTTTTCTGGCTTTACTCTCTGCCCACTCTTGTTTCTTTTTCTTTTTTAAAAATTCAGGTTTATTGAGATTGATATGCAAACAATAAAATATCTTTCTAAAGCCCAGAGGGAATCTCCTCCTCACCCTTAGTGTCCTGGAGCTGCAGGAGACCAGACCTAGTGCACCAGCCGCCCCTGCCCTACTCCCGTCTGTCCCCAGCCCTCCCTGTGCTCCACGCTAGCCAGTTGCAGGCTAGTCCCAGAATGTGACGAG